ACAACTGAACATACATGCCTACTTTTGTTCCCTCTCAAACGCCACTGAAATGTCAAGGGATCTTCTTTTGTAAAGCCCTAAATCCACAAGGATGGGGAGAATGAGATTGGAGACAATTGGAACAAAATGTTGGAAGCTAGAAGGTGAAGGGCTTAGTAGCCTTGGAAAAACAAAATCTGGAGTTGGCAGTGGGGGCAGCCAAGAACCAGTCTGGTTTACGTCAAAGAATTACCCAAAGGCTCAGGAACTAGCAATATCAAGTACCTCTGGGAATAGGGATGAGGGGGATGTCGCTCTAGAATGAGGAGAATTGGTTGAAAGTCTTTTTGAGAAGCCTTCTGATCTCCAGCTTCCCTCCACTACCTGGCAGAATCCTACAGGTTAATTCTCCAAGGAGAGGGTACAATACATCTAGATGTAAGGGAGATTGGGAAACGTAGTCTTTATTCTGTGTGGATATCTGCTCAGTTAAGAGGCTGGGGTTCTCTTACTGTAGAAGAGAGGAGAATGAGTATTGGGGGACAATTAGCAGTTGGTACTATGCTTTAATGCACAGGCATTTGCTACATTAATATAATAATATTGATAATGATAGTGGTGGTGATGATAATAGTAGCAGCAAACTCATATAGTGCTTTTTACATGCCCAGCACTGTTCTTAGAACTTTACATATATTAACTTACCTAATCCTCACAATCCTGTAAAGTTAGTTCTCTTGTTATCCTGCTTTGCAGATAGAGAGACTGAGACACAAAGAGGTTAAGCAACTTCCTCAAGGTCTCACAGTAGAACCAGGCCTGAGACCTCATCTTTCTATGATTAAGCTTTTCAGAAGAACCTGGTTTCTAATTAATGTTCATTGTATTGGTGTTGTGTTTTCTTTGAATAAAATGATTTTACTGTTATATATGCTCAAGAAATATAAGGAGTTATTGCTAGTTTCATAAAACATTTATATTTGTATAAATTTAAGTAGCATTAGAATACAAATAATTTAACATTTGATGTCTATTATTTTCTTTTTTCTGTTTAAAAGAGCTTCATACATTGTGAAGACTGTCACAGAGGGTGGTGAGTGGAGTGATTAAATTGGTACTTTGGAATGTTACTCTGGCCACAGCATGGGGGAACTGAGACTGAAGGCAGGGAGACCAGAGGTGAGGTGTTGGCTGAGTCCAGGGTTTTTAAAACTTCAGCGTGCATCAGGAGCCCTTGGAAGGCTTGTTAAATCATAGATTGCTGAATTCCACCCCTAGGATTTCTGATTCAGTAGGTCTGAGATGGGGCTCGAGAATGTTTACATCTAAGAAGTTGACAGGTGCAGCTGCTGCTGCCAGTCTAAGAATGACACTTTGAAATCCACTGCATCTTTCTGAGAGGTGATGAGAGTCAGAGCTATGGCAGTGGAGGGAAGATGAGCCAGGAAGGTGCCCGTGATGAAGAGTCCATCAAGGAGAATTTATAGAATTTATGATTTTTTGGAAGTTGAAACAAATGGAGAAGAAAGGGTCCAGGGCAATAATGAAGGGTTAAATATTGAATAAAAGATATTGGACCATTTCTGTTGGGCTTTGCCATTAGGAGGCCATTGGTGACTTGATGACCTAAGTAAAGCAATTTCCATGGATAAGTAGAGAAAACCGAAGCTCCAAGGAGATAGATTAAATCCTGTAGTATCAAACAGAATCAATATGGATTTCCTTAATTCTGAAATGTTAGATTATGCTCAGTACTTAGCTTATTTTAGCTGGCCATCTGATTTGGGTCAAAGTAAATTCTTCCAATGCTTCATGACACTTTCTGGCTCTCCCCTGACCCCCTTTTTTTTTTTTTGAGACAGAGTCTCATTCTATTGCCCAGGCTAGAGTGCCGTGATGTCAGCCTAGCTCACAGCAACCTCAAACTCCTCGGCTCCAGCAATCCTTCTTCCTCAGCCTCCCGAGTAACTGGGACTACAGGCACGCGCCACCATGTCCAGCTAATTTTTTCTATATATTTTTAGTTGGATAATTAATTTCTTTCTATTTTTAGTAGAGACAGGGTCTCGCTCTTGCTCAGGCTGGTTTTGAACTCCTGACTTTGAGCGATCCACCTGCCTCGGCCTCTCAGAGTGCTACGACACTGACCTTTTGTTTAAAAATGGATCTGAAATTTTAAAAAAAGGTGTCTATATCCACTTTATTTCAAGTGAAATACATCCTTCTGCATGTATATTTTTTAGTTTCAGATCAATGTAGAAACCTTTTTGCTTGCACTTTCTTATGTATGGTGACATTTAAGCTCTGCTTCCATCTAAGATCCTGCTTATGGATCCTCAAATCAACTCAGGTTTAAGACTTCAGAGCTGTCAAGTTCTGTTAGTTTTACTTTGAGATTTCTCTCACTACTGTCTGTCCTCCCATTATCATAGTTCACGCTCTCATTACTTTTGATCTGAATGATTATAATAATTGTCATAAGAGTCCTTGTTCTCACTTTCCTTCATAGTCTAGTTTATATTACATATACCTGTGAGATTAATTTTCCCCAAAAACAGCTCCGATCACACTACTTCTTTGCTTAAAATCTTCTCCATGCTTAATGGTGAAGGCCAGTTTTCTTAGCTTAGTATAAGACTTTTGTTTCTAGCTTCAGTCCCCCCCCCACCCCCGTATTCTTGGCTGCACCCACACCACCCACTGGTTGATTTAGTCTTCTCTGCCTTTTTTACACTGTTTCTACCCCTCAAGAAAGCCCTGTCTCTGCTTGAGATTCAATATTTACTTCCAGATTCTGCACATCTTCCTCACAGCCTTTGCCACCTAGAAGTAATTCCTTTTAATCGTCTTTGTCTGTTTCCATCTGGCACTGTCCCTATAACTCATTATATTTTTCTACCATGTATTTACATATATATACGTGTAGTTCATCTTCATATCTTCCATGATGCCCATAATGGTGCCAAACAAAGATAGACTGAATGGAGAATGGGAAGTCAGTTGTCACAATTTAGTGCAAATAAAGGAAATAAAATGATGATTCATTTCACAGACACAGTAAGTGCATTGTGCATCAGTGAATGAGTTCTAATGGAGTTTTCTAAAGCTACTGTGAGTGAAGGTTTACGGGACCTCTTCTAAGTGTAGTCAATCAACTTCGTCATCTTTTTTGATTGTTCCCAAATCTTTTTTATTTAACTTACTTCTTAGTTTTTGATTGTGTTCTAGATATTTCAGTGAGCTGAATACCTAAGATGTATGTGAGGTGGTGCTGTGTTATATTATGCTGTATTTGACAAGCCTGTTAAGCATCACCTGGATGGCACATGTGTATAAGCATATTATTCACATGTGAGTTCACACTTTTATTTTTTTTTTTTACCTAAGATTAATATGGGTCAACTGTGTTTTCCACACAATGGAATATTAGTTAGATGGATTAATGGGTTCACTAGCCTGATTAATGATCCATACCAGTTGCTTCCTGCTTTTTGATACATTTCATTAATGCATTTTCTGATTCTGCTTTTATTTACTAACTGGAATATAAACTAGAAAAATATTGTATACAAGCAATTGGATTGTAGAAGTGATGTATAGGATTTGTTGGTTATAATTGATTTTAGAGGTAGAAACATCTAGAAGTAGCATAAGAAATAATAATGCTGTAAGCTATAAAAACTATAAAGCATTTCAGACTTACAGTAGAATGATATAATTTAATTTTCAAAACCAACTTGTTTTCTCTTTGGCCAAACATCAGTCATTTGGGAGCTTCTAAATTGCATTGCATTTGAGACAATATTAAGGGTTGTAATTATGGCATCTTTGTTTAACGCTGCCTGTACGAGAGCCTTGAGTTAGTTCCAATAGCAGTGAGACTCACAGATATTTTAAAAAGAGCATATCAGATATACCTAGTGAATGTTATTTACTTTCTGCTTAAAACTGATTCTTCATTCTCTTGCACTTTATTTTATTAATGGCTCTTCAGTTTGGACTTAGAAGTCATTTAATGTCAACTCTCTCTTGTTTACAAAGGGGAAAGCTCATTTATTTTTCATGCTTCTTTGTCATGTTGTTCCCTTTGCTTCTGAGAAAAGGGCACCAAGCTATTTAGATAGGGAAGTTTAGGCTATTTATAAAGCTGGGCAGGTTAATTGAAATTGACAGCTTGGTAATGTCCTCCTTGGTGAATGACGCACATGGGTTTTAGATGATGTTGGCATGCTGTTTTCACTTATAGTCAGGAATCAGCTGGAGGAATTTGTGTGCTTTGAGCTTTGGTGTTGACGTAGGTACTGGGCACAGATATGTTTTAGGAAACATCTCATTTCCATATAAATGAAAGAAGATTAAAAAGAAAAATTTAGATGGCTTGCCCTTAAATTCCAGCTGCTATCACAAGGATGATGAAAATACATCTTTTGACTTTCTGGAAAAAACAGCTTTGGTTATATTCAAAGCACCATGAAGTTGTTACAGGTTTATTCAGAAATATTTTTTGTATTCATTTCTTTTTGAAATCTGTTTACTCAGCATCATCTATGCATACATTTATTTGAAAAATTACATTTTTCTTGCCTATTACTCCAAACTCCAACCTTAATCTCTTAATAAGTTTTAGATAGCTCCACTTAAGAAATTTATACAGTAACATCAATAAATGTGTCAATTTGATTTTAATAAAAGGTAGAAGAACCAAGTAGTTTGTTTTCTTTCTTATGTGACAAAAACTGTGGTTCTTTCTTTTTTAGGGACATAGTAACTATCAGTTTTCACTGAAATGAGTTTTTGTTTTCCTTTTCACATATTCCTTAAAGGAGAGTCTAACTTAGGCTTAGATAGTCACTCAAAGGAGAGTCTAATTTAAGCTTAAATAATTGTATAGTACATATTCCCTAAAACCCAAACATTCAGATTACAGTTATTTCACTCACAAGATAATTTCACAAGGAATTTTTATCTGCTAAAATCATATTGATCACAAAATCATGCTCAGAAACAAAATTTCAGCTTACCTAAGGTGTCCAAATATCAGTGGTTGATTTATTACTAGTTATAATATGCCTTCCGTGAGTCCATAGCCCTCATCAAAGCTAGTGCTGGACAGTTCCCTGAGGAAGTCTGGAGCTCTGGGAATGCTGGGTTGGTCCTGTACTGCCAGGTTTCTGCGGTGCCTTTGTGATCATCGTGTCTGTCATAGGGCCTTACTCAAATGTTATGGCAAACAGCACACAGCACATAGCTCAGCAACACCTGAGGGGAATAGTGTAGAGGCAGGGCTTCTAAGTGGATGCTTGCTTCAGTAGAACTGGAATCTATTAAAATCAGCTGTCCCTCATTTCCAAGCAGTGCATCGGAAGGTTTTAGACCCCCTTGGGTTCAATCCTTGACTTGCATAGTGTCTGAGTTGCTGCAGATATACAACTGCAGCCACAGCATTTATTCTTTATTTCAGGAGTTGCTTTTTTTTTTTTGAGACAGAGTCTCGCTTTGTTGTCCAGGCTAGAGTGAGTGCCGTGGTGTCAGCCTAGCTCACAGCAACCTCAAACTCCTGGGCTCAGGCGATCCTCCTGCCTCAGCCTCCCGAGTAGCTGGGACTACAGGCATGCGCCACCATGCCCGGCTAATTTTTTATATATATATCAGTTGGCCAATTAATTTCTTTCTATTTATAGTAGAGATGGGGTCTCGCTCTTGTTCAGGCTGGTTTTGAACTCCTGACCTTGAGCAATCCGCCCGCCTCGGCCTCCCAAGAGCTAGGATTACAGGCGTGAGCCACAGCGCCCGGCCTCAGGAGTTGCTTTTAATCTTCAACCCTTCCTTCTTACTCTTTGGCTATCTTTCTTGCAGGTTAGCAGTGGCCAGGCCTCCTGTTTACAGTCCCACTCTGCCCAGTGAGTGGTAAACCTTGGGATCTTGGGGTGAAGATCACTGATGTGAGCCTCTGCAATGCCTATTCATGGTCTTGCTAATGCAACAGGATTTTGGTTCCTCGTTTAGAGTTGCCTGTCACAGGCCTTCCACCATGGCTGAGCTTCCTTCCTCACCCTTCCTTTCACCTCAGATAGAGAGACAATGCTTGTTGTTGAGTGACTCTCGGGGCCGTAGACATCCTTTGCTGGGGTAAATAGAAGTTGAGGATGATCAGGGTATGGTCAGCGCTCATGGTTTGGGGGCTTTTATTTTTTTTATTTTTTGATACAGAGTCTCACTCTATTGCCCCAGCTACAGTGCTGTGGTGTCAGCCTAGCTCACAGCAACCTCAAACTCCTGGGCTCAAGCGTTCCTTCTGCCTTAGCCTCTCGAGTAGCTGGGATTATAGGCATGCACTACCATGCCCAGCAATTTTTTTTCTATGTATTTTTAGTTGGCCAATTAATTTCTTTCTATTTTTAGTAGAGATGGGGTCTTACTCTTGCTCAGGCTGGTTTTGAACTCCTGACCTTGAGTCATCCGCCCTCCTCGGCCTCCCAGAGAGCTAGGATTACAGCCATGAGCCACCGGGCCCAGCCGTTTTGGGGGCCTTGAAGATGATGCAAAATCTCCAGTACCTCTCAGTGCCAATCGTCAAGGGGTTCTGGGCTCCCACTTGGCTCTCAACTAAAGACTGTTAAATCCTGTTGATTCCATAGTGTTTCTCAGATCCTTTCTCCTTTCTGTTTTCCTTGATACTATCCTAATAATAACACTTTATATCCTTATAATGCTTTATGGTTTGCAAAACACTTACTTGTACATGCTTTGTCTCATTTGATCCTCAGATTGGTAGGCACGTTAGTTATTTTTATCCTAATTTTGTGAGGAAACTGAAGCACAATCCAAGATCACACAACTAGGAAGTGATGGAGACACGTTTAAACCCAGGTATTCAGACTCCACAGCCCATACATTTAACCATTGTAGTGACTTGCTTATGTACGCCAAACTTCCTGTCTTTATCTCCCTCTACAGTTTCGATCCCTTTATACTTCAGCTTTCTTGTTTCACTTCCCAGCTCTGAATTTGCACCTTATTTCTTGCCTCTGTCTTTGGTCACTTTGTCTCCTGTTCCATGTGGACCCGCCTATTCTTCAGTGCCCAATTTGGTGCCTTCCTTTTCATGAAACTTCATATGATTTCTTCAAGGCTAAAGTAATTTCCCTGGTCTCTAATAGCATTTTATTTTTACATCATTTTCTTGTCTCATAGTTATTTATATTTGACCTATCTGCATATGACATTGTAAGATGCTTGAGCACAGAGTAGTGTTTTATTTATCACTATATCATTTGTAGCAACTAATTTCAGCATGTAAATACATGGTCAAGTACATATTGTGTAAATGTTTATTCTATATGGTAAAAACAGATTATATGAAGTTATATATTTTTTTACCAGGTCAGAGTCAGAGCCTCTGATGGCAGCAAGAGGCACTTTGGGAGAGCTGTATATTATCCCTTGTGACATCTATCTAATGAGATTAGGAAGGTATATTTGAGAAACTGCAGTCTCTTACTATAGTCTCAGTTTGCTCCCTCTCTTGGGATGCAAGTCATTCATTAAGGATCTTATCTAATGTGTGTCCAACTGAGCACTTTGTTCATTTTAAAAGAATTTCATTCCTGTGTTCCATGTAGGAATACTGGTCTCTAATCTGGTAATTGCCAATAGTAATTGAATTTCTTGACAAACAAAAGAAATCTAAATTTTAAGTACCAAAATTATTTTTATTTTGCCCTTTAACATTTCTTTTATAACATATTAAAAAGTAAAAATTTTTTTTTAATAATTTATGCCTAACTTCAAGAGCATAGCAAGCAAGAAATGTTACATATAATTTAACTTTTTTGGATAACTTTATCAGAATTAGGATAATCTGTTGAACTACAAAATTGATATAGTCAGTTGGAGATTTCAGTTGAATCTGAACAGAATTGAAGACTTTCCTTGGAATTTCCCTTGTATCTATTTAATTATTTTCCTTCCCCCCCACCCCGTTTTTTTCATAAGAGTGGATTATGTAAAAACAAAACTTGACACTTTACTGCCAGTAATAGCTTAATTGGATTCACAAGTTTGGAGATTTTATACACATTTTAGAAATAGAAACATGTATACATTTCTACAGAGTAAGAGTGTTAACATTTCTACAGAGTAACAGTTCTGTCTTGTACAATTTACTGTTGAATCAAAGGTTTTTAAAAATCTATTCTTAAGAGTTTTCTTGACCACTTTTATCACTGTTTTCTTGTAAAGATGCTTTTTATTTTATTTCATTGTTGTTAATTAGGTCATGCACTCTGAAGGTTTAAAGTAGCTGTTTTATTTGCTTTAGCTTTTTGGGCAAACATCTGAGGGAATTTTAGGACGTTGTCCACAAAGACTTATTGCATTCAGATTAAATGTTTAAAACAATTTTAACTATCTGTGGTTGTGGTACCAGATAATTAAGCTCTAAATGAATACATTTTAACATTAATGAGTCGAGTAGACAATTTGCAATGTGCAACAGACAATTTAGGGAAGAAGTTTCTCTAGGCAAGGGGAGCACGTATTGGTTAGGGTGCCATGCTGCCAGTTTCTAGCTGTTGTCTTCGGGCAAACCACTTAAGTAAAGCCAGTTTCCTTATTTGAAGACTGTGGGCCTGATGGAAGGTCTTCAGTAATGCTAAGATTTTGTGATTCTATAATTAGTTTTTCTCTTGCTACGTTTTCATGCCCAACCATGATTTTTACAGATTATTGTTATCACATTGATTCTCTACTTGGTTTCTCCCTTTTGATTAATTTAAAGAACATGTTTTTACCCTTTGTGAAATCTTTTCTGGATATAACCTTGAATTCCTTTTTTCCCCTGCAATAGTACAATATAAGAATGCCCCTGTAGTCTCTTTAATTTAGGAATTCATGTAAATGAAAGATTAATTTACCTGATAACCATGTTATGTTGTTTTCTTTAAACTTTTCTTTTTTTGAATGCTTGGTCTTTGGAGCTTAGCTGGTTTTTTTGTTGAAGGGGTGTTTACTAAAATAGTGCTTTCAAATAATTGTTGTACCCTCCATGTAAAATTTAATTTTAAAAATGCTTTTTTCCCAACTTATTCTTAAGTAGAATTTTTGGTTCTAAAATTGAACAGTAGAATCTATTATTTTCTTTTATTTGGTATTAACTTTCCCTATGATACTGTTTCTGGTGTTAACTAACTCTATGTGTCTGTGAATGTATTCTGGGAGTTTTCATATTTTCATGATGTTTAAAATTTGAAATTTTAATATCCATGATAATCTTAAAAATTAATTTCAGCATATATTGAGTCATCTGGATCATCTGCCATGTAAGCAGATATTACTGCATGGTAAAATTGGTGTTAATGTTTATTGTTGTAGTCATGCTATGTGAAGGCCAACTACTTCATGTTGTCTGAAGTCTATGAGGGTTTCACTGAGATCCAAATAACAAACAGTGCTAGGAGCATCCCTGCATACAAAACTCAAAAGAACCTGCATTATAGAGATAACATTCAAGTTGCAGACAGATGAATTTTACCGATTCCATTTTTTAATATAGCGACTTGGCAGCAGTTCATTAGCAGTAAATATATCAGTAAGTACACACTAAAGAAGTTTCTATTCAACTGATAATTGAATAGTCACACATTTAATGCAGATTTCAATATGGTTGTGATACCAACCTTATCTTTAAATGACTTCCTTAAAATTAGCATTCAAGAAATTCTTGGTGGTGGTTTTATTTGGTATAAGATCTGATTGTCCTCAACTGGTTAAGGAAGCCATGAAATTATAAATATTGTTTTGTATAGTGCATTTAAGTGAAAAGGCATTCTTTTCATTAGAATTATTAAAGACAAAAAACCAGGAAGATTGAATGTGGAATTGGACTATAAGCTTCATTGGTGTTGTCATTTCAGCAGAAAACTATTGTTACATTATATTTTTTATTAATTTGAATTTAATTTTGTAGTTATTTTGTATTTAATTTATAAATTTGTTTTGCCTTTGTCTTTTTATCAGGGTAATAAATGCTATTTAATTTTATATGTATTAAAATAACATATTAAAACTGGTTTAAGTTGATATTAGGAGAGTAAGAAATACTTTTCCTTTAAGAGTTGTCCATCTAGTACTTAGTTTGAGAAATCTTGGTCTATGATCTTGAACATTATTCTGTCATTATTATGATGGCTAACCATTGTCAGATTTTCCCCATTTTATTGTCTATGAGTTGATTAAAATTAAGTGATTCTTTTCTGTCATTTAAAAAAATTAATATCTCTAAGATATGGCTACCTGAAATATAGCCATGAAGTAAGTGATCCATTGATAACATTTGTGAATAATTGGAGTTTTAAAATACTATGGTTTGGCATGATTTTTAGTTAACCTGATATTGAGTATTATTTCTATTTTAATATTATTATTTTGGTCAATTTTATTCATTCATCCTTACAACAAATATT